AAATACCAGTGTTTTCGTACAATCGGTAAAAGCCCTTTGCTGGGGTTCTTTCAAGAAGCCTTCAATACGTGCATCCTTCTGCGACAAAACAACTAGCCGCTATCATAATAGACTGCGTTCCTCATCTTCTTCCTCCACAAGACTTGAGAGGTTGCTTGGCTTGCTGTGCTATGCTGCAGGGATAAATGCTAAAAAGGAGCACCTGATTTGCAGCAAAAGATTGCCCTTAGGGCGCTTTGGTGACGTTAGAGCCATGTGGTCTGCAGCAGTAGGGCTGATAAAATCAGCGGAGGAAAGTGCAATTAAGTATGGCCAACTTCGGCTGTCTCCGAAGCCTTCCCATGCTTTTCTCTCCGTCTGTTCCTCCTCACGCCCTAACCACATTGCTAGCGTTCTCACGCCAATTTTACGCTTCTAGTTCAGACACCTGATTCGACCGATGGTCTGGTTCAGCTGAGATAGGTTAGTTTTCACTGCCCATGCACGATGTTAGAAGTCATAGCTGAGGACTCAAAGTTTCCCTTTTCTAGGTAAGCTTACTTTTTACCATAGTTAATATAGGACCTACTCTGAGGATATTTATTCTTATGGCAAACATGCCTTATATCATTCAACCTTGGCGAACCTATCTCCTACGAACGACTAGGCGTCCTATCTTAATACAGTGGCCTCGAATATTCGCCATCTAAGGATTCAAGAGCAGACTGGTAGTAGAACGGTAGACGAGAAAATACTGTTGTCAGCTTAACTGTTTGCTAACACCTCCAGCCATTAATTAAGAGGTCAGTTGAATGAAAAAAAATTGTGCGCAGCACATTTTGAACAAATCGCCTCACCACAGGATGGAGAGTCTGGATGCAATGGCCGCTTCTTAATGCCGCCTTAATGACACTGATTCAGTTGGGATCCTAGCCGTCCTATGCTGAGGAAACATGGTCCACCTTCCTTGGACGGGCTGCCTAACCTTGTCAACCACTGCCCCCAGAGCTGCCTTCTGTTTTCTTGATTCTATCTTGGCACAAGGACCATTTTTGTGTATGAGAGAGGGCAAGAGATAGAAGACAGCGTGCGGCGGAGGTATCGTAAGTCTGCTGCCACTATAAACTGATCCTCTTGCAAGCCATCATCCCTGCATCCACCTCGCTGTGAGGCACATGCTCTACATTGTCTTTCTTGACGGCCAAACTGTAGCTGAGTTAGCTCACGCGACCAAGCCGTCAGGATGTCGGCACAGGGCTAGCCATCTTCACCGGAGATTCCGTTCTCTCGAGCCGTCTCCATATCGCAGCCAGCATCTTTTCCTAGGAACAAGAGTCACACGAAAAGGCAATGACTGAAAAAGGATAAACATCCGCTCAGATTAAAGGAGCAGGCTGTGTTGTTCGTCAAACTTGAAAAGCGCATAAAGTGGTCACGTCAGTGTTAGACCTTCACCGTTACCGATGATAAAATCGCTATTCATACTGTGGCCAGAATCACTCAGGTCGGGAGAAGTAACTTGGGAAAGAAGATAGCAGTGCTGCAGAGTGTCGCTAAAGTTTGGTGCTTGATCCATGCACACTACCACTCCAGTCCACTGGTTATTGCGGTCATTTATAATCAACTTTATCCTATAAGCTCCGAACTGACAGGAGACTGGGCCAGT